ATTTTTGGTTTTCTTCATTCTTCTTTGCTCTGGATAAGGAGAGATACATCATAGCATCTAGATGGCCACTTGCAAGCTTTTAAGATCCCAATTGCTACTTGCCAAAGTAGGATGTGGAATGATGTTTTTGTGTAGTATGACCATCAACATTTTTTAAGGATATGGAAAATCCAATTATTAATTTCACATGGTAAGGAAAGAGACCTCAGATAAGCAATGCACTGCTGAAGAAGGAAAACAAAGTAGGAGGTCTCACACTCCCAGATCTCAAAACCTACTATACAGCCATGGTAACTAAAAGCACATCTATTTTTGTGTCTCCATACCAGGTTGTAAGTTCTCTGAGCTGTTTGGGAGCTAGTGTCCAAGAAGTGAGGTACCTAAGCTGTTTGGGGTCTGTGTTCCAGTTGTGAATTTTGTCCTCTGTGGCATACTTTACCCAGAATGTGAGGTTTCTAGGCTGTTTGGTGATGTGTATCCAGGAGTGCTGGGTATCTAAATTCTTTTTGGATATAAGTGTGAGTTCCTTGCATGGTGTTGAGATCTGAGGCCAGGATCTGATATTTATTTGGGGGTTCATGTTTAGAGTGTGAAGATTCTGAGCTGTTTGGTGATTTGAGCCCAGGATGAAGCTTCTTAGCTGTTTGGGGGTCTGTGTCCAGTATGTGGGATCTCAGAATCATTTGGGGTCTGTAACACAAGGCATGACATTTCTAAGGTATGTACAGGGTTTTGTCCAGATACCCAGGTCTTTTGAGTTCTGGAGTCTGTGAACCAGGATGTGGGACCTCTGAAGTGTTTGTGTCTCTGTGTGTTATGGCTCTGAGCTGTTTGGGGGAAATCTGTGTGCAGGAATCCATTTCCAGGGTCTGAAGTCTCTAAGTTGTTTTGGGGTCTCTGTGTATTGTGTTTTAAGGTGTGAGGTCCCTGAGCTGTCTGGTGGTCTGAGAAGAGGGTGTGAGGTCTTTGAACTGTTTTTCCATCTTTATCCCAGTTTAGGAGTTCTCTGAGAAATTGGTAGGTCTTTATCCCTGGTCATGAAGTCTCTGAGCTATTTGGGAATATGTTCACAGGGTGTGCAGTCTCTCAGCTATGTGGGGGTCTATAAACAGATTTTCAGGTCCCTTAGATTTTTGCATGAGTATGTTACAAAGCACAAGGTTTCTGAAGTGTTTGATAGTCTTTTTCTAAGATGTCACTACTCTGAACTGTTTATGGGTCTGTGTCAAGTGTGAAGTCTCTGAACTATTATTTATAGATCTGTTTCCTAAGGTACAAGTTCTCTGCATGGGATCTGCTTTCAGGCTCTGAGGCCTCTGAGCTCTTGTCCAAATTTTGAGTCTCTGATTTGTTTGTGGTACTATGTTCTACGGAGTGAAGTGTCTGGGGTGTGTAGTCTGTTTTCCAGAATGTCTTTGAGCAATTTGGGGAGTCTGTGTCCAAGGTATGAGGTTTCCTAATCATTAAGGATCTGTGTCCAAAGTGTGAATTCTCAGCTGCTTAGGGATCTGTCCCATGATGTGAGTTCTCTGAGCAGTCTCTCTGAGCACAATGTAAAGGCTCTGAAAAGTTTGGGTAGTGATTTACTCAGATGTGAGGAATTTGAGGTGTTTCTGCATTTCTTATTCCTGGAGGAAAGTTCTCTGATGTGTCTAGGGTCTGAATCCGAGTGTATGAGGCAGTAGGTGAGGTCTGTACTGTTTGAGAGTCTGTATCCCATAGTTTGAGCAAAATCTGAGTTACATGGAGTCTTTGACCAGGTATGAGATCTCTGAGCTGCACGTGGGCATCTCTGAGAGACCTGAGGGTATAGTTCTATGAGCTAGTAGAAGGTCTGTGTCCTAGAGTCTCTATTTAGGGAGTTTATGTCTCAAGGTCTCTAAAATGTTTGGCAGTAGTTGCCCTGTGTGAGGTCTCTGGGGGCTTGAGGGGTCTTTGTCATACGATGAAAGGAGCTCTGGTGGCATAGTGGGTAAGGCATTTGCTGCTAACCAAAAGGTCAGTGGTTCAAATCAACCAGCTGCTCCACAGGAGGAAGGTGAGGCACTCTGCTTCTGTAAATGTATAGCCTTGGAAACCCAACGGGGGTTGCTATGAGTCAGAATCAACTCAATGGCAGTGGGTTTGGTTTTTGTCATAGAATGAGGTCTCTGAGCTGTTAGGGATTCTGCCATCTGTGTGAGGTCTATGAAATATTTGAGTGTCAGAGCACGCAAGGTTTCGGAGCAAAACCCCAGGGCACTGGCTCATATTCAGGCTGAGGGGTGATGGAAACAAGTCAGTATATATGAAATGGCATGTCTCTGTTCTCCATTCTGTACCCTGGGACACATAGGTGCTCACTAAATATCTGCAGAAAGCTTCTCCCAGCAAGCACAAACTTTTTTATTTGAATGCAGTAGGCAGGCATTGGGTTCAGAACCTCCAGAGCCAGGAGAGCCCAGTTAAAATTGTATCACATTTCTGTATTTCAACTTTATTTTCCTGCTTATTTTTGCTTATGGCAAATGAAAAATTTTTTTCCGTTTAGACAGAGATGCTTTAGACATTTTGCTTTTTCAATGCATTTTTAAATGTAAGCTTTTAAAATAAAGCTTTATGCCAGTTTATTTTGGGTCAAGATGGGAATGTAGATGGGGGAACAAGTGGTATGCAGTGGTGACAGAAACTGAAGATTATCATCGAATCACTGAGATTTAGAGAACATGTTCCTGGACAACCACAAATGCCAGCCTCTTGTCCCCCAACCCCCCACCTATACAAGGTATTCAGTACCTCATATCTGGATTTATTCAATCAATATTCATTTTATTGATGTCCAGTCTAGGCTGGGAGGTCCAAGGGCTATACAAGAGGAGAACCAGATTTAGTCCGTATCTGAAGCTCAGTCTTGTGGGGAGTAGGGGGAGGATGGACACAGACACAGATCTGGCATCTGGAGGGAGGGTACACAGCTGCACACAGCTTCACGCAGGGGCACTCTGGGCATAGGTAGTCATGGAAAGCTTCCTAAAGAAAGCCTTATGGGAGAAGCAAGGGGCAAGGCAGCCATCAGACCCTCCACCTTCTGTACATATGTAGGTAGTGGGTGCAAGATGAGTGTGAAGGTCTGGTATCTGGGGCTGGCAGGCAGCAGGATGTCCCTCTCTATACCCTAGGGGGTTAGATATATCCACCCCCCTCCCCATTCTTGGCCTGTCCTTTACTTTCTGCCAAACAGGCCCTTTCCTGGGATCCAACTCTAGTTTTCAAGCCTTCCCTGAGACAATCCACATGGATCAGATGCTCTACCCAGTGCCTGGCACTCACAAGCACTCCAATGTACATATTTATCCTAAGTGCTACCTATGGCCAACCTAGGTCTTGGTTCCAACTTCAAATAGATCGAGCAGTAATTACACCCCAGATCTGGGCTCCCAGCACTCTCAGAGATCCCAAAACCCCAAGGGCCTTCTCTGAACTCCCTGAAGGTAAAGCTCAATCCCAGCCCCACCTTAGAGGACAGAAAAGTTGGGACTGCCTTCCTGGCACTGGTCAGTGGGTCAGGGGCATCCAGTCCTCAGTCCAGTGGCAGGTGACTGCCACTTCTCAGATGAGGTGGCCCTGAAGAAGCGCTCCTAAAGCTTCCAGGGCCAACACCAGCGTCACTGTGAGCACAAGAAGAAACCAGCCTCAGCCCCAGTTCTGGGGATCCTTTTTATTTCACTAACACAAAGTTTCTGACCCCAGAGAACAGTGAGTAGGTTTGGGAACTCTGGGCTCTAACCAGATCTTCCTGTCCTGGGGTTGTGTACCCACACCCTTGGGGCAGTAGGGAGGAGGCCTGCAACAGACCCCTCAAGCTCCAGGCAGAAAGAAGCAGGTGCAAAAACATTTTTCTATTCTGGGGCTCGGCTGGGACTCACCCCTTGGACCTCCTTGATAAGCCATAGGTCTTGACTGCAGAAAGTCCTGATGTAGAAAAATGACTTCTGAAGGTAGGCAAGGGGTTTGTAAGTGCAGCCCACATATGGGGCTGGGATGGGGAGAGGGGACTCCTGGAGTCAGTCCTCACCATATCCCTGCAGCCCTGAGCATGTAGGGGCAGGTGGCGGCAGGCAGGAGGCCCTGGAAATCATTCCTCTGACAGGAGGGCAGCAGTGGGTGGGTGGGCAGGTGGCATCAGGCCCCCACGGTCAGTCTGGCCTCAGACTTCAAAGGGCTAGAAGAGGTATTTGCGGCAGGATTCAGTTCCACACTTGCATTCAATACGGACCCGTTTCTTGGGGGAGCCAGGGAGCCCAGCCAGGCCAAAGTTGGAGTCCATGCGGGTGCTCTCCATGTCCACGGGGTCCACTGTGGAGTCACAGCCAAGGAAGAAGGAGGGCGGGAGGGAGGGGACTTGTTAGAAGACCTGGGTGAAGCTTCCCACTACCCTTTTACCATGAGACCCAAAGATCTTGGGAACTGGGATTTGGGTTAAGAGAGAGGGGTTTTTAAGGTTAGTGGTTTGGGATTAGGGCCAGGGCTCAGCAATGGAAGGGTTTACATGTGTTAAGAAAAGGCGGGGGGGGGGGTAAAGGTTATGGTAGGTGGTAGGGTCTATCAGGTAGAAACCAGGAGGGTCATGTCAGGCAGGGGTCAGGATTGGAGAGCCAACCAGGCATCCAGAGGGGCATCTTAACTCTCCTTCCACAGATCCTCCCTTGAGTGTCTCAGAAGTAGTTTATCAAAGAGGAGGCTGCTTGGAGGCCACAAGAGCAACCAAAAGCTTGAAGAGAAGAAGGCCAAAGGAGGTTAGGAGTGGGAGAGGCTAGGAGACCAGGGACATTGAGACAAAAGACTAGAGTCAGGAAGAATGTCTTAACTCATTCCCAAAGAAGCCTTGGGAGAAGTTGATGAGTGTCTCAGGGCTTATGTCCAGAGGCTGGAAATGAGGGGCCCCAAGAAGTGGGCAGAGGTCTAAGAATCCAGAGAGGAGATTGGGAGTCAAGAAGAGCACCTTAATGCTCCAGCCAATACATCTCCGTTGGTTCTCTGAAGTATTGGTGTGCCTTGGGGAGGGGGCCTCCTACTCCATGTCACTGTGTGCCCTTCCCCCATCCCTTGCTACCCCCACCTTGCATGTTGTAATCAAAGGTGAGCTCCTCGCCTGCCCGGATGGTCCTTGTGGCAAAGAAAGCAATGCGTGGCAGCCGCTCATCAAGGTTGTCTATGAAGACATTGTACACCTGCAGGTTGGGGTCACACTGGGCAAGAAAGAATAGCAGGAAGGTGAGGAGGGGCCACAGCCTGCCTCTCCCAGCCCACCTGCCCGCCTACTGGAGTACCCACACTGTGGTTAACAAAGTGAGAGATGTTGCCATAGTAGGCGGCATCCACTGTATACACATCCTCCACGTAGTCCAGGTCAAAGAGGTAGGTGGCACCCTGGCGGTCGTAGATCTGGCCCCGACGCTCTGCCTCCTCTGAGGTAATGATCTGGGAAAGGGGCATAGGGGGAAGGGAGATTGTCCTCATAGGCTGAGAAAGGCCAGCACATCACCTGCCCCCCAGCCACTTCCTCCCCCTCCCTGGGAAGAGAAGAACAAGCAAGCAGGAAGGCACCCCACCCCATGTGGAGACTCAGGGGCTGGCATGGGGGGTCAGCAATGCCCAGGATATGTCAGGCTCTGTAATGAGCCCTTCTCATGGGGCCAGACCCACCCATATGCCCACTCCTCAGGCCTCTAGGTGGTAATGGGGAATCTCAATACCTGGTGGGGGCTGGCCACAAGGTCAAGTTAGAGTAAAAGAAAACTACTCCTCCTGCTGCCCAGCCAGAATTGCCTTGGGATCCCCAGAGCCTCCTGTGCCCTTGGGGCAGAGCAAGAAGGACCCAGAGAGAGACACCAACCTAGAGAATGACATTTGGAAAGAGTCAGCATGCAGCATAGTATATGAGAGACAGCAGGAGTGAGAGCAGAGTTTAGAGTAAGAGTACAAAAATGAGACCCATCATGAGACAGGGAGAGAGACCCAGAGCAAGGGCAGAAAAGGAGGAGATCCAGAGCACAACAGAGCTGATACGGGAGTAGACTGACTGATAACAGGGTGAGATTGAGCAAGCCAGCATGGAACAGTGTGGACAGTGGCAGAAACCCAGAAAGAGAAGGCAGAAAGAGACCTGGGATGGCAAGAAGAGAGAGACCGAATGAATGAGAAAGAAGTTCAGAAAAAGAAGAGACAGAGTTAGGAACACAGAGAATCTTAGCAAGGAAAACCGAGGTCCAGAGAGAAGACCAAGACCCCCAAGGGAGTGAGTATCCCTCTCAGTCCTGAGGCTGGTCAGTGCCAAGAACTAGCATTTAAGACAGCAGTAGGCATCTCCTCCTCCCCACGTTGGTCCCCAGCTGTCCTAGTAAACATGAAGCTGCCCCACCATCCCAGCCCCAACCTGTCCTTGCCTCCCAAATGCTGTCCATGGATCACCACCCCACCTCAACAAGTCTCATGGTCCCTTTTCCCCTTCCTACAGCGTCTGGTGATCTATGAGTATAACAGCCCACATCCTTCTCCAGTGAAGCTGCTCTCTCTCAGCCAAGACTCTCTAGACCAGGGCAAGCTTATTTTTCCCTCTCCTGGTTTCCCTACTACGTATCTGCCCATTTTCAGAGATGAGGGCCAGAACAGTACACACATAGTAAACCCCAAACCAAACCCACTGCCATCAAGTAAATTCCAACTCATAGCAACCCCCATTGGGTTTCCAAGGCTGTAAATCTTTACTGAAGTAGATTGCCTCATCTTCCTCCCATGGAGCAGCTAGTAGGTTTGAACCTCTGACCTTCTGGTTAGCAGCCAAATGCCTTACTCACTCTACCACCAGAGCACCATACACACAGTAGACACTCAATGCTACTTGTTTTCATTATGCTTTCTAGCCCAGCAACCTATCCTCTGTCCAAGTATTGTCCTACAGGCAACTCCTCCCCCCACACACACCTCTTCTCTCTCCCTTCACTGGAGAGACCCACTGCCAACCACCACCCTACTTCTGACACTGGCCACACTAAGACCCACCCAGCTCCTTCCTACTGTACCCTCATGCTAATAAGTGATGCCTATTTTCCAGTCTGTCCCCCTCCAGTCTTGTCCTGTCTCTTTTCTGCCTCAGCTCCATGCCAAATGCTGATCACTAGCACCTTTATAAAACCATGACTTAGCCCTTGGTACACACTGTTCACTGCCCAACTCCAGCTCCATTCCTTGAGGATCCTGGCTCCCCTTGCCCAAAACTTTTGTTCGTTCATTCATTCATTCAATAGATTTTTATTGAGGCCTACACTAGCTTGGTCCCAGTCCTCAGAGTGTCATTCTAATGGGGAGGGAGACAGAGACCAGGCCTAGTCCTGCCCTCAGTGGTCACAGCCTGGTGACAGAGAGAGATGGGCTCAGACACCTGTATGCTGTAGATCAGTAAACTGCTTAGAGTTTGAGGGAGAACTGAAAAGATACGCATCATCTAAAGCAAACTCTGCTGATCATAAAAGCGCTCTGAAGTGTGGGGACTTTCTCCTGAGGGATGCAGTAGGAACCACAGCAGCATCTTGAGAAGGTGTCTGTCAAAGTCACTCTCCCTGCCACCTTCTGGTGAACATTCACTCTTCCCTGTCGTGTAAACAAATGCCACTTCTCTGAGCAGCCTTTCTGAACTTCCCAATTCCTACCCGACTTTAGCAGCTGGCCACTGCTAAGTAAGCACTGCAACCAAGGGTCAGCCACTCATGCGACCATAAGTATACTGAGTAGGGTCTGAGATATGTTTTTAATATTGGCCCCTCCTCACCCCAGAGGGAATGCCCCATATCCCTCCTCAGCCTCCATCTTTCTGCCTGTTCTGCCTCTACTTGCTTGAGTCTCACCAGGAGTGAGTCATACTGCAAGCCCTCCAGGGCACAAACTGTTCCTTCTCTTTGTTTTCTGTTCAGTCCCATGCTATAATGGCTAGTCTACTCTGAAAACCTGGCAACAAATCAGTCCATGTCCCTACTCCCTAGGAACTCTCTAGAGTCACTGAGGAAGATAGGGTAGAAGTTGCAGCTTGGAAAGTGTGCTGAAGTGAGCAAGAAACAGAAGACTTGGAGTCAGGTTGTTGCTTTGCCCCCTCCTGGCCGTGGGATTCTGATATTTTCACTCTGCCTGTTGCCTCAGACCTACCTCCCCGCCCCCCAAAAAAAATCCAACACTGTCTGGCAGAGCACCAGTTTTAGACACTTGGGCCTTTATTTTTAGCCTACTATATTTTTAACCTAAACCCAAGGAGGGGTCGCTATGAGTCGGATCGGACTTGATGGCAGTGAGTTTGGTTTGGTATAGGGAGCTCTGGTAGCATAGTGGCTAAGACACTTGCCTGCTAACCAGACGGCTGGCGGTTCAAACCCACCAGCCACTCCTCGGAAGGAAGGTTGGGCAATCCTACTTCCGTAGTGATACTGCCTCAGAAACCCAAGGAGGGGTCGCTATGAGTCGGGTTTGACTCGACGGCACATAACAACAACAACAACAACATATTAGCTTTAAGAGCCCTGGTGGCATAGTGCCTAAGGCATTTGACTGCTAACCAGAAGGCTTGTGGTTCAAACCCACCAGCCACTCCTTGGAAGACTGGGCTATCTAGTTCCATAGTGATACTGCCTCGGAAACCCAAGGAGGGGTCGCTATGAGCCAGATCTGACTCGACAGCAGTAAGTTTGGTTTTTTTTTGTTTATATTAGCTTTGTGACTCTAAGCAAGTTATTACGCCTCTTTGGACCTCAGTTTTCTTATCTGTAAAATGGGATGACAATCCCAACCTGACAGAGGCTGTTGGAAAGATCCAAACAAGATCATGGATGTGAAAGCTTTTTTGTTTTAGTTTGGTCACTAAGCAATGTTGAGTGGTTACAAGTACTCTACCTTGGTCGAAATCTAAGCTGCACCCTGAGTTTATGTACCCTTTACAAAGAAAGGAAAAACTACTGTTCATCAAATGATACTTAACTTTATGAATCAAATACTAAACTCACTACCATCAAGTTAATTCTGACTCATAGCGACACTACAGGACAGAGTAGAACTGTTCCAAAGAGTTTCCAAGGCTGTAAACGTTTACCAAAGCAGAGTAGCTAGTAGGTTTAAACTGCCAAACTTTTGGTTAGTAGCTGAATGCTTTAACCACTGCACCACCACATAGGAGCTCTGGTGGCATAGTGCCTAAGGCATTTGACTGTTAACCAGAAGGCTGGCAGTTAAAACTCACCAGCCATTCCTCAGAAGGAAGATTGGGCAAGCTACTTCCATAGTGATACTGCTTTGGAAACCCAAGGAGGGGTCGCTGTGAGTTGGATCTGACCACTACATAAGGCTCACTTTAATTTCAGAGATGTTAAAATATGCTAGGGTGTGAATGTTCCATGGTAATGGTTGAGGTCTGACCAGAATGTGGAAGCGTGCAAAGGAGGAAAAGGGCAACTCAGATGGAAGGAAGTATCGGTACGATGATGGAGAGCTATGAAAACAAATGCCATGTGCAGGTTTTAGAAGGACAGCACAGTGTGCGTGTATGGTATACATGCCCTGTATTATCTACTACCTCCAGTAGGAGTGGGGTTGTTGTTGTTGTTGTTATGTGCCGTCGAGTTGGACCCGGCTCATAGCATCCCCTCCTTGGGTTTCCGAGGCAGTATCTCTATGGAAGTAGTTCGCGCCATCTTCCTTCCAAGGAGTGGCTGGTGGGTTTGAACCGCCAGCCTTCTGGTCAGCAGTCAAGTGCTTTAGGCACTACGCTACCAGAGCTCCCAGGAGTGGGGTAATCAAGTAAATTAGTATTTCTACAATGAAATGTATGCATATTCACACCAAGTGAGGTAAATAAATACAATAAATAGGCCCATATCAGTTGAGGTAGGCTTTTCTAGTCAAAAGGGTTATTTAAAAAAAAAAAATAACTTGGTTTTCAGGCCATTTTGGATTTTATAAATTTTGAACTGTAATGGATAATAGGATAATATTTATTAAAGGCTTAATTTGTATTAAACGCTATTCAAGTGCTTCTTCCATAATAACATAAAAACTCATTTAATTCTTAAAAAAGTGTGTAAAGTGAGTACTATTTTATTTTGAATTCCATTTGATAGATTAGGAAACTGAGACACAAAGAGGTTAAATAACTCTGCTGGTTAAGTGGTGGAGCTGGGATTCAAACTCAGGTAGTGTGGCTCTAGGGCCTACTCTCCTAACCACTTTGCTATGCTGCCTCTTCAGAAGAGGAGCACAGAAGTTGAGATTGACTCTGGCAATGTTTAGGGGCCTATGGTGCCATCAAGAGGACCTAATGCTGAAGGGGGGCCTGGAAGATGCCAATTGTGGCAGGAGGGAGGCCAAGAAATGGTAGCAAATAGGAAAGGGTCTGAGAGGGTACCTGGAAAGCCTGATATTTCCAGGATGGAGGGGTGAGGACACTGAGGAAGAACAGCCAGAAAAGTATCGGGACCAGAGACTTTGGGGCTGCCTGTGTGGTACAGATTCTTCCTCCTACTCAACTATCCGAATCCTGTTAGAGACAGCTTTCCTGTAGACTGTCAATCCAGTGAGTGTGTAGACATTCCCCCCACTGGACTTCCTCTAGGCCTGTCACTGTGCTATGGGATCTAGCCATCTCTTCCTCCAGACAGTCAGGGTTATCTGAAATGTGGAAAGCTCACTTTCTTCCAGATTCTCAGGGTCTCTTCTGCTAAGGACAACTCTTCCTCCAGACTATAGGATCTCCTTCTCTAGACTTCCAGGAAGTCTCTGGGGTGTGGACACTTCCTCCTGCCTCCAGACTGTCAGGGTCATTCAGCATGTGGACATTTCTTCCATGAGACTGTCAGGATTATCTGAGATGTGGACATCTCCTTATCCAGCCTGTCAGGGTCCTCTGAAATGTAGAGCTCTCTGCCTCTTGATTGTCTCTGTCCCTCTGAGGTATAACCCTCTCTCTACTGTTCCTCAGGGTGGGTACTCTCAAATGTGTGTCCCTTATATAAATTTCTGTTACTTCCCAAGGAGCCTATGGAAATACACAGAGGTACTTTGAGCAGTCACCATGACAGGATACACACATGGATTTAAATGAAAAATGTCCATGGCTGTTAAATGCCCCATGTATGTAATGGTTCTATATAACAAAGAACTTTAGCGACCCCTCTTTGGGTTTCCAAGGCAGTATCACTACGGAAGTAGGATTGCCCAACCTTCCTTCCGAGGAGTGGCTGGTGGGTTTGAACAGCCAG